GATGCAATCAGCTGGTTTTCCTTTGATAAACTGTTTTGAGGTGACATAATGTGAATTGGCGCAATAGAAATAAACAGAATTGAAATTGAACTGAAAGTCCAGACCTGCATCCAGCAGATAATCTGCGGCAGGAGTCATGTTCATGGACACCAGTCATCCAGTCTGCTCCAGAGTTTTTGCAGGGAAGACTGGTGAAAAAGTCGCTCCTCTAAATGTAAAACTGGTGCAGACCGACCTTAAAGACTCAGCGCTCAGATTGTTGCTGCTAAAAACTGGGAACTAACTAGGTAGAAATAGAATCCCTAGACCCACTATTTGGACGAGGACTAAGCCTATCGCCATGGAGACCTGGGGAGACAGACTGGATGCTATCAGCACTGCTCACATGGCATGTATGAACGCTATATGAAGCAAATGAATGTATCTGTTCCTGTGAAATAGAAATAAAAAACTGCTGACTTTGAGGAACCAAACGGAGGAAAACTTTCTAAAAAAAAAAGGTTTAAACTACAACGATAACCTGTCCTTTACTTTCACTTTTGATGTTAAACTTGAATAACAACAAAGATGTGAAAGCAGCAGGTTGGGCCTTTTCTGCACCATAGATGAATAAACTGTGGTCCTCAGACAGCAACATTTTACCATAATGATATATAATATAATTATAATGTTTTATTAACAAAAATATTTCCACTCCTTTGTGGAAAAAGGCTCCGTATCTGTCCTGCAGTTTGTAACTTCATTATTGTTTATCTTCTTGTTATCTTTTCCATTTGACCTGTAGATTGTTGCACAGACAGGTGGGCCCTCATGACCCCCCACCTCTGCAGCACCACTACAATGGTGCTGCACTAACCGCACTGGAAAATGCATCCAGAAAACACAGTGTGACGAGGAGTGTATCCCAAAAATAGGTCAGATGGACTGAATGTCTGTACTGCTTTCATTTCTCCAAATATGCTGACATGTGCTCCATCCCATCTGTCATTGTGGCCACGCCTCCTTCCAGCCGCGTCGACTGCAGACCATCAGACACGCTAAGCATCAACAGCCTGTTTCATTCTTCTGCTGGTGAAACATGTTTCCCTTTTCCTGCTCCTGCTCATCCCAATAATTAGGATCACTGGATCTTTTTCTCATTTCATTTGTATTTAGAGAATGTTTAAGAAAAAAAACAAGTTGTTGTTGGGATTTTGTTTTAGAATACAAATATTTTCAAGGAGTGGAGGCCTAGTGGTTGGAGCATTTCATTCTACCCCCAGAGGTTCTGAGTTCGATCCCCACTCCCACAGACTGCCACTCTGGGTCCCAGAGCAAGACCCTTAACCTCACACTGCTCCCAGGGCGCCGCACAATGGCAGCCCACTGCCCTCAAAGGGGAGGGGTTAAATGCAGAGGTAAATGTATCCGATGTGAGATCAATAACGTTTGATTATTAATATTATTATTACATTGAAACACAAATAATTTTTATCATTTTGTTTAAAAGGAACGAGCAAAATTCTGAAATCTGTTTAATTTTCTGTTTCATTTCAGAAAAACTGAATTTAGAACAGAGAAAAATGTGTTTTTCATGAGACAGGATGCGGATGTTTATTTAACAACAGCACCAAGAAAACTGAGATCTGAGGAGGGATGGGGGGGTGGGGGGTGTTGCCCTGTAGTTGGTGGGTTGCTGGTTCCACTCCCTGCTGTAATCATCTTTTTTATCGTGTAAAGCAACCTGTCTGAAACATAAAGATGAGCTAATCAGGGATGTTAGCGGCTCCAGGTTTGATTAAATGATCCACAGAAAAAGAGAAATATTTGCTTTATGGAATTTTAGGAAATACACTGTTTTAGGGTTGGCGTTGTTTTTTCAGGGAACTATAAAATCATTATAATCTGCAACATTTGGGATTAAAACAGATGCATGTTTGACAGTAAGGCAGCAAACTGAGCTTTCTGTCCGTCTTTTTAAGCATTTTAAAACCGGAAATCATTTGTTAAAAAACAACATGTTGATTGTATAAAGCGCTATTTTCTGATATTAAATGATGATTCTGATGTGTTTTTACTGCTGCTTTAATCTGTAGCTGTGAGACCAGATGAGCTGATCAGTGTTTGCTGGGAGGGTTTGCTTTGCGTCTCTTACCACTTGTTTTCACTGAATTTGTAGCGGTGGTCATCAGCTGGGACCACATCGATGAGGAGGATGTATTTGGTCTTGGGGTTCATCCCGCTCACTTTGGCCTTGTAGCTGGGAAACATCCTCCTGTTGAAGAAAAGGACAAAGCAAACAATGAGGCGCAGGATGAGCCTCTCCTAAAGGATCCGACTTCAGCCGTTCAAACTGCTCCATCCCCATCATCTGCTCCGTACCTCTATTCTATATCAGCTTATAGTTCATTTATATTTCTATGGTCCCATTTTAATACTTCTGCATGTATCTGATCCTTTGTTCCACTGATCAGCCGGTCAGGCCTTGCAGGAGACTGTGGACCAGACACCGCAGCATCCAGGGGCCACTCAGACGACCACGCACACAGGAACTCACACCTACAGCCAGCGGCTCTGCTTCAGAGAACATTTAGACAACAAACAGCTGTTTGCAGAGCAAGGAGCAGATCCAGCAGGCCAGGGAGGAAGTTCTCTGGAAGGATGAAGTTTAGGGGTCAGAATGGAGCCGACCTGATCAGAGCCTTTCAGCTGCTGAGAACAAATTCACAAGGCATCTTTTTCAGATTTCTATTTGTAAAAACAAATCAAAACCAGTTTAATTTCCCTTCAACTCGAAGTGCTTTTCAAAAACTTCCCGGGAATTCTGGGATCTTTTCCATTAACTGCTTCAGAGCAGCAGGCTGGGCTGTAAAACACAAAGGAAGCTACATTTGGTGGCCCTTTTCTCAGAAACCAAAACCATTTTCTTTCCATCTGCAGCCGTCGGCCTTCTTATAAAACCCTAAGTGGTTTTTAATGGCTGCTCAGCTCGGACAATTTAAACAGCTGGCTCCTCGTTGCTCAAGAAGTCAGGCCTGCAGTTTATCCCCGGGTCCTCGTTCAAACATAGAGCTGCACCGTCAGAGCGGCTGGGAAAGCAACAGGACCCGGCTTCATGCCTTCTCCTCTGATTGGTGCAGTGGTTGATCTTCAAAGACTGGTATCGCTGATCATGTTACTGTAAATATTCTCTCACGTTAGACGGAGGGATTGAGCGCAGGTAATTTAAATCTCTCTGAGGCTTCAAATCCAATCAGAGGGACGGATCAGATCTGCTATCATCCTCGCTGAAAGACAGCTTAATCTGAGGGGAACATTCAAAACAGACCTCTGCTCGTCTCATACCCCGCTTACCCCACCCAGAGCAGACGGAGGCCTGAGTCAGGACATGTGGGCCCTGGATGGGGAGAACATATCTGTGTTTAAAGGTGATTTAAGTGATTTTCATCAGGCAGATCCTCGGACCCCAACATGTCAGTGAAGCTTTCATGTCTGCTGGGCTAAAATTGGCCCTCCTCATCATCCTCATCCTCCCTACCATCTCCCATAGAAGCATCCTAGGTCCGTTCTGCAGAGGGAATCATCAGGGACGACTTTCTCTAAAATTATTTCCTTTACGCCGCAAAAAATTGGAATCTAAACAAGACAATTTTTCTTAAAATAAGTTAATTTTTTGTCTTCAGTTGAGGAGGTAAGTGAGACACTTTGCCAATGGAACAAGACAATTTACATAAAAAAAAATGTATATACTTATTTCAAGTGCATATTATCTAATTATGTTATTTTAAGAGTATAAATATAAATTTTGTCGGCAAATCATCTTATTTACCTGCTTAAATTAAAGGGAAATACACCAAATTTTTTGTTTGCAGAGTCAATTGCAGAGGAGCTTAATGGTTCCCAGCAGGTCTGGGCGATCCCAGCTGCAGGCGCTTTAACAGCACTGCAAAAAACCATCGAGAAATAACATTTCTTAAATGAAATGTATTTAGCCTTAATTTGAGGAGCTAAAGAAGATGATCTGCTAATGGAATGAGTAGCTTTACTGTTAAAATAAGATAATTAGATAATGTGCACAAGACAATTCCTTGTTTTCTTATTTTAAATGTGAATTGTCTTGTTCCATTGGCAAAATGTTTCTATTACTTCCTTAATTCAAGAAAAAATGCACTTATTGAAAAAAAAAGACCCATTCACTGCAAAAACAATCTGAAATTAAGTAAAAATTTCTTAAATCAAGTGTATTTACACTTCATTTGAGTAGGTAAATAAGATAGTTTGCCAATGGGATGAGTATTTTTACACTTAAAATAAGATAATTAGATAATATGCACTTGAAATAAAACAATGCTATTGATTTTTCTTATTTCAAATGTAAATTGTCTTGTTCCACTGGCAAAGTCTCTCATTTATCTCCTCAAATCAGGATAAAATGCACTTATTTTAAGAAAAAATGACTTATTTAGATTTACATTTTTTGCAGTGTTGAGATATAGATTTTTTCCCGTGAGGAAGCTGCACTGGAAAAACTATCTAGAATTAAGTAAAATGTCTTAAATTAAGTGTTTATCCTTATTTTAAGCAGGTAAATGAGACAGTTTGCCAATTGAATGAGTATTTTTACTCTTAAAATAAGACAATTAGATAATATGCCCTTAAAATAAGACAACTCAGTGTGTTTTCTTATTTTAAATGTGAATTGTCTTGTTCCATTGGTAAAATGTTTCTATTACTTCCTCAATCCAAGAACAAATGCACTTATTTTAAGATAAAATGACTTATTGAGATATTGATTTCTTCCAGTGAGGAAGCCGGTCTACTGAGACACGGCTCAGTCCGGGTCCACAGCCGACCATGAGGCCGTGTGACTAAATGAGCTTCAGGAGAGGATGAGAAATGGCAGTCAGAGTGTCCATGTGTGATATCAGTGTCAGGGTGTGTGTGTCTGCGGCCCGGCCAGCTGTTTCCATCAACATGTGTCGGCCGTCCAGAGATCCATTCCTTCTCTGGGAAGCTCCAGCGCCACAGTCAGATCAAAGAAGCACCAGGAAGGGGGGGTGAAAGCGTTTGGGGAGTGGGGGGGTGTTTAAACGATGGAAAACGCAGTACTCAGGCCTTCTGAGGGCGCCGCATTTCCCTCATCAACCTGCTGCCCTTTGACGGCTGTGTACACAGACGCAGCGTGAGGGAAGCGCCGCGCCGGGGGCTTTGAAGACGGAGGATTCTGGCTGAACGGTGACGCTCATCATAACACGACCTGGACCCGGTTCTGTTTGGTGTTTTAGAAACGGCCTGCATCTGTCCTTCCTCTCCCACCACCTCGCCTCTTCACACTTCATAGAGATCTGCAACCAGAACTGTCTTTGACTCTGATCTCCATGTCCGTCAGGCGGCACCCTATAAATCCATTTATCGTCCTATTAGTGTCTAAAACTGACCCTTTTTTCAAACATTCCTTAAAATTCACCTTTCCTCACTGAGAAAATCAATCCATTACTGAGTCCAGCTGGTCCTGAACTCTGTGGTTCCCAGCAGACATGTTGGAGCGTTTCAAGCTTCTACACCTAATGCCAAACTATGCTTTACAAGTAGGAGCAGCTTGGTTGGGATTTCATTTATAGTCACAGAATCAGAAAGAAAAGCAACAAACTGTCGTTCTGCTCAGAATAATGAGGAGGGCCGTTCAATAAGTAATGCCTCTAACAGGGGCGCCGTATTGGGGGGGGGGGGGTTAGGAAGATGCATAGGGCCCAATGTCCAAATCCAGCAGTTAAATAAATAAATGTTTGTGTTCTCCCACATTTTTCAGCAGTGAAACAAAGTAAAGAAAATACAGTCAAAAATAATTTGACCATCCAAGTTTTTTTTTTTTTTTTATCTACCAGCAGTTTATGCAGTTTATGGTTAATGTATATTAAACTTTTTTTGTGTTCTGATCATTTTCCTTTGTGGTTTTAATTTAAATTTACAATTTAAATGTGAATGATACTCTTCAGTGCATCTTGATAGCAGTTTTAAAGGTTGCATACATTTTCTTTTTGGGGGGGGGGCCTATATCAATGTCTTTCATGGGGCCTCAAATTCCTGGCGCCGCCCCTGGCCTCTGAACCACCTCACATTGTTTAATCTAGCTGAAATTTTGCATGTGCAATGAAACAATAATCGACCATCCCTGATGTCACAGTGGAGGAACTCACTATCTGCATCTTAACCATCACTATGGGGAGCAGTGGGCTGCCACTGTGCGGCACATCGGGGGTAAGGGTAGGGATGCACGATGTTGGGATTTTGGCCGATATCCGATATGCCGATATTTTAAAACTCATGTAGCCGATAACCGATATCGATACCGATGTTAAAGCTGGACAAAAATAAGTAGTCATTGAAAATAGCAGTTTTGTTATCCATTTCTGACACTTTGAAAAATAATAAACTCAAATATATTTTCATATGCTGATATCAAATAGATTTTTAAAAACGCGGTATCGATCTATTTTACTTTCAAAATCTGGTGAAATTTCATCGTTCTGTTACAAACTCTCGTGATATTTTGCAAATTCTTGTGAGATTTTGTTAGTAAAATAGATCGATACCGCGTCAATATATCAACATATAAAAATATGGCAACATTTGGTGAATTTTCGGGGGATTTCGTAGCATAACGATGACATATAGCAATATTTCATTAGTAAAAGAGATTGATATGGTGTTTTTAAATGGCAATATATCAGCATATGAAGATATTGGGATATTTTAATGGATCAATATTTTTTCCCTCGTCTTTAGAAGTTTTTGAGTCTGTAAAAAAGAAGTTTTTGAGGAAGAAGAAGTATTATTATTATTTTTTTTTAGACTTTAGAAACTCAGAAGCTGATCAAATATCGGGTTAAATATCGGTGGGGGGGCCGATGTCCGATATTCAGTTTTAAGGCCAATAGGGGGCCCATTATATCGTGCATCCCTAGTTAAGGGTCTTGCTCAGGGACCCAGAGTGCGACTGTGGGGATTGAACCGGGTACTTGCAGCCTTCTCAGAGTGCAGAGCACTGCTCTAACCACTAGGCCATAACTCCCCATTGGTCTATCTCTGTAGATGAAGTAATAAATGAACTAATGGTGTTTCCAGTTTACAGCTTTTTAAACTGGTTCAAGTCTGAGTGTCGAGCAGTTATCTGCACACCAGCGGAGACTTTGATGAAAAGGCCACATGATGCCCATCATATGACTGCTCAAAACTCAACATTTCAGACCTGACTCAGGTCAAAACGCCTGTAAATCAGAAAGCCCATTCAGCACAGAGCTGTAATTTACCGCTTCATTTATAGAGATATAAATAGTTGCACAAGCAACAGCTGGAAGTGGATTAGAGGCATCACTTATTGAACGGCCCTTTTAAAACAACAGCAGGAGAACCAGGCGTCACCTTCCTGCTTCTTTTTATAGTTTCAGGTCCAACATGTAGTTCAGCATATTTCTGTGGATTATAATCTAATCCTGTAGGGTCCAGTTAGCTGCAGCACATTCAGTCCAGTCTGTCTATATAACACCAGGACCTGAGCTGACAGGTCCAGGTTCTACCCAGAACCTCACTAATCCAAACATGCTTGAAGGTAAAAATCTGATTTTCTGTGAGAACTTTCAGAACCAGCTGAAGGACCCGGCTGGTTGGAGCCCGTCTGGCTCCAGACTGGGAGCAGGTAAACCCAGCAGGCCTCCCAGCCCAGCGCCGCGTCTCCAAGGAGTTCCCAAATGGCTTTAAGTCTTCAGAAACCACTTTATCAGCGAGGGAAGCGAAAGGCTATCTCCTCTAGTTATGAAGCATTAAGGAAAAAATGCGGTGACCTTTTACTGGGAAAAAAGAAAAACAATAAAAATCATCTAGTGAGGGATGAGAGGCAGAGGTCCATTCCAGTATTCTCCTTCTCTGGTTAATGTCCAAAGGCTTCACTGCGTAATCCTGAGGCCGCATTAAATCCAACAAGGCCAGCAGTCATTTGTGGTTTCAATTAGGTATGTGGCAGAAACGTTCTGTCTCTTCTTGAAAGATAAAAGTCTTCTCCGTTCATTTTAGCTGTCCACGGCACTGCCTGCAGAGGGGTCTCCTTCTCATCACCCACTTGCTATCATTTCCCCTCCGTTTTCCACAGATGTTGAAGAATGGGAGCGGCTTTCAGCACATAAAGCATTCAGCCAGTTTCTGTTGATGTGGAGAGAAATTCATTTCTCTCAGCGAAGGGTTTAGAAGTGAACCGTTCTGCTGTTCGGGGTTCATAAATCCTGGACCTTAAGCTCCAAAGCCTTCAGGAATAGTTTCTTTGGCCTGAAAAATGAGCAGCTAGCTGTGATGCTGCAGCTTCAGCTCTGAGCTGCTCTGTCTCTAAATCTGCTGCACCTCCAGCTTTAGCTTCATCTTACTTTACAAGGTCGCACTGCGCTGTGAAATGTCCTGGAGGTAGATCAACTCTAACATCTGGACAATCCTTTTTAATAAAATGATAAAATGTCAGCCGCGATAAAGCAAAGATAACACAGATCTCCTGAATGTCTATGAGTCGCATCACGGCGGAGCGGTGAACTTTAGAGAACTCTACCGACCTTCCAGCTTTGGTGATGATCATCTCCGTCCCAGCCTCATGGAACCTCTTCCACAGCTCCCTCTCATGAAGGACCACCTTAATGTTCTCGATGTTCTGGAAGAGAGCAGAACAGTTCAAACCGTCTGCATGTCTGCATGTCTGCACCACCACTACCTGGAATATCAAGAGAAATTAGTGCTGATTATTGCTCTTTTCTATCAGCCTCTATCTGTACCTGGTCTGGGCCAGAGGAGGTGGGAGCGCTGGGAGCACTGGGAGCGCTGGGAGCTGTGGACGGGCCAAGCTGTGACCGGTCTGGAAAAAGATCCGTCTCCCCGGCGGGCCGGACCCGGCTCACAGGATCATCCGTCACAGCTGAAGCCTTCTCCTGCAGCATCTCTGCAGCATTACACAAATACTCAGCTGTCAGATTTATCAGTGCTCAGAGGTCACCGCAGGGGTCACCGTGCAGCCGACCCCAAACTTTCCAAAAAGAATCTCCTTCCTGAAAATAAACCCGCCGCCTGTTTTCTCTTCTCACACACACACACTCAATAGATGTGGATTTAATGTAAATACATTCAATGTTTGTGAAAAGTTTGGTGACTGGCAGCCTCTAAAATTCCACTACGCTGTGATTTTGACCTCATTTGTTTTATACTTTTTATCATCTCAGATATTATATCAGTTCATAGAAAGTCTGGTTGTGTTGCTTTTGTTATGTTTAAATTCAAAAAGAAAAAAAACAAAGAAAATTTACAGTGTCATTTGCCATCTTTTTTTATTAAGTAAATTAATTATTTATTATTTATGAAAAGAAACTATAAATATAGTTAATTAATTTAATTTAAAATCAAATTGTTCTAACAATTTTAACAGTTTTAACCTAAATTATCTAAAAATGTATTTTTGATATAATTAATTAACCCTGGGACAATTTTCTCCATTTTTCACATTAAATTAAAACCTCTAACTTTTACATATTACCAAAAATACAATCGCATTATTCTATTTTATTCCATTTTATTTCAAATATTCATATTTAAAAATATAATATTTAATATCTTTCCTAAAAAGGAAAAAATAAAATTATAAAATTATAATTTAAATGGCTCCATTATTTAAAATAATCAGTTATATTTTTAAAGGATGCATAATCCTTATTTACACCTAAACGAGTTTCACAATCAGTCGGTTTAAAGTCAGATTATCACCAAAAACAGCTCAAATTGGTCGGTTTCTCTGCAGACTGAAATCCCACCGTGTGAGACGGCCTTCAGAGAGCTTTATAGAGAGCGTTCCTTTAGATCTGCCACTTCAGATCTGGTTCACATAGGTCTTTCTAAACATTAGTGGAGTGGAGCTTCAGCTGGCAGTAAAAGGTAGACTGATCCTCATGCTTCTTCATTCCTCTCGGCTCTCCTGCTGCAGCTGGAAGCTCCAATCAGGGCCTGGAAGGTGTCAGGCAGCTCCTGCAGAAAAACAAGCTTTTCTCTGAGGGCTTCTTCTGTGTTTGCATCACAATGAGTTAAATAGTGCAACCACTTTTTGCATTTTCTTAATCATATTTAGTTACTTTAACACAATTGTTTTATTTACTACACTGCTAATATGAAATATTTGTGTTCAAGTAATTAAATATGATTAACAAAATGCCAAAAAGGGTTGCATTATTTTTTTCAGTGTAGATCAAAATTAGATAATATGTTGTAGCTGCTGCATGCTTTTTTTGCAGGTCTCTGACCATCATAAATATAACAGATTATCTGTCAAATAAAACCCCAGCAAACATCTCTGGTTTGCAGCGTGTTTTGAGCAACAACTGCAGAGAGTCTGTTCATGTTGGATCCCTGCTGCTGTTTATTCCTCAGGCCGACTGTTGGTGCAGCAGACCTGTAAACGAGAGCAGCCCCTCCAAGCTAAGGAAGTGGGACACAAAGCACCCAGTGTAAACTAATGGAGACATTTGTGAAAGCTAATAAAGATAAGGACTGACACAGCAACAGCCCGGCTGAGAATCTGGGCCTTTCACTGATCCAGCGTAACCCAGCAGTGAGAACTCAACTTTCCTCTGTCACTAAATATCCCTGTGAACAACTTGCTGCAAGCAATGCTATACTACTACACTAAGAACATATAAAAACCTAATTTCTCTGTGTTCAGAACGCAGCAGGTTCATTGAAATGGGTGTAAAATCCATCAAGTGGTCTGGACTTTTCCTTCTGCTGCTGCAGTGAAGTGTTTGCTTTAAAGCTGGATGCTTTGAAAACATCACAGTGGAGAAGAAGACGACGCAGCAGCAGCAGCAGCGTCTGCATAGCAGCGCCTGCATAGCAGCGTCTGCATAGCAGCGTCTGCATAGCAAAACATGTCTTATAAATCTGGAAAACTCTCATCAGGAGAAAGCACTCGGTGAAGGAGCAACGTTATAAAACTCTGTGGTGAAAAATGCTTGAATCATTTACAGTCTATTCATCTTCATTTCTGTTTTGATATTTCTGCTCTATGCTTCCAAACGCCTTCCACTCTGCTGCTAATACACCTGAAATTCCTCTCTAAGGAAATTAAACATGACATTTCTGTTCTACTCTAAATATTCCCTGCTAACGACTGATAATAGCTGCAATATCTGCATGAATCATTTGACCAAATATCTGCTCTGCTGCATTAAACTCTGCAGCCAGCAGCTTCCAGGCCTGAAAACAAAGAAAGGTCAAAGAAATAAAATCATTAAAAATCTTTGCGCTTCCTGATGACCTGCTAGATTTATCAGACTCAGGAGTTAGCATGAACATTTATATTTAAAAATAAAGTAATAACTTTAACTATTTAACTAATTTTTAAATAACATAAAAATATATTAAATGTTAGTGTTTAAGGGAAACATTTATTAAAAAAGACATTGTTATTGTTTTTATAGTATAATTTAAATTATTTAATATTATTTAATCTATGTTTTATTATCATTATCATCATCATCATTATTATTATTATAATTATTATTAGTGGTTTCTAAAAACAACAATTAACGTCAGAGGAAAAAACCACCCTTAGGCTATTTTAAAAATAAAATCGAAGAGAAAAGCAGGAAAAGGATGAAAAGCAACAATTCAATAAAATTCAAACAATTTACGCGCAAAATCATTGAGATTTATTGCGGATCTAGTTTTCTTAGATCTGCCTCCTCACTCAGCCTGACGTGGAGTTTTTTTTTGCGGCCTAAAGTCGCTCTTTGAACCTGATAGATTATCTATGGAGACAGATTAGGGTGATGGGACGGAGGCCTTTCATCTCCAAGCAGAAAGAATCAGAATGTAGGAAAATATAAAACTGCTCCTGGGATTTAAACTGAACATTTCCCAGAAATTATTTATGGAGGGAAAATCTGGCTATTTTTACCAGAATAAAAAAAAAAAAAAAAAGAGTTTTGTTTTATTTTAGACTTTTAGTGTTTTAGTTCATATTTTTTTATGATCTTCTTCTAAAAGACGTTCCTGCAACACATCAAACTTTCTGATAGAAAATTAATCTGTTCAATTTAAATCTATCAGCCTAATTCGGGATTAAACCGTAAATCTAAAGAGTTTTTCCTGCAGCCTCCCATCAGCGGACCGATAAAAGCTCCGGATCTTCACCGCCTGACTGGATCCGCCGCTCCTACCTGATGCGGTCACCTCTCATCCCCGCGCTCTGCTGCTGCTGCTGATGATGATGGTGGTGATGAAGATGATGGTGATGATGATGATGGTGATGATGGTGAAGGTCTGTCTCCCTTTCACTCAGCCGCAGCGCGCGGACCGGCTCCCAAAGCTGCGGTCTGTAGCGGGTGGCTGCTGGTTCTGTTTGGAGCCGCTCAGATTCTCTGGAGCCCATCTGCGCTCTGCGCATGCGCAGTGGGAGAGGGGGTCTGCTATAGGCCGCTGTGTGACTGATTGGTCCAGTTTCCTCGGAGGGTCTAATTCAGCATCCACCCGCTGAAGGAGCCACCAGCACCACCAGCACCAACCAACCACCAACACCACCCAAACCACCAGCACCACCCAAACCATCAGCACCACCCAAACCATCAGCACCACCCAAACCACCAGCACCAACCAACCACCAGCACCACCCAAACCATCAGCAGCACCCAAACCACCAGCACCACCCGAACTACCAGCACCACCCGAAGCACCAACACCACCCAAACCATCAGCACCACCTGAACCACCACCCGAACCACCAACACCACCCAAACCATCAGCACCACCTGAACCACCATCACCACCTGAACCACCA